TGGCTATCTCTTGTGAGCCACTGGGAAGATACTGAACATTTTGTAAGCACAGGTATGAATAGCATCATCGGATTTGCATGATGTGAAAAGTTCTCTTGCAGGGAAATTATACTCTGGCTATATTCTTTTTTATTTTTTAGGGTGTACATAGAGCCTTGTGTTTATAGCTGAATGAAAACTGGATTTTGTAGCAAAACATGTTTGTTTCAAAGCACAGACTAACAATCTGACCCAAGTTACCCATTGCTCTTCTCCTGGATGGGGATTGGGACGAGAAAGGAGGCTTCCAGCTCATGGGAATCACCCATGGGGCTGGCAGTGGGCTCGCAGCCTGTGGGTCAGTTTCCCTGAGTCTGGACCCAAGGAGCTCTCCAGGAAGCACATGCTGCAGCCAGCCGCACACAGCATCTGCCTCAAAGCCCTCCATGGCCATGTCTTCACAAACACTACTGGGGAACTTCTCTTGATAATCACTATGTGTAACATTCAAGAAAAAACAAAGCATGCCCTGGGAAAATGAGAAACAGAGCAGGCTACAAATTCAGAATCACATAAAAAGCCTAAAACATTCTCTTCTTTAACCATTTGTTTCTTTGTGCCCCCCCCCCCGCCCCCACCCAAAGCAGGTTTTGCTATTTGAAAAGTACACAATTTTGGAGATCTAGTCAAAAGCTTGCTGTGTCTCATAGGGATCTGAGAATGGGACACTGAATTTGAGAAGTCGGCCAACATCTGAGAGAGGGCACTGCACGCTGGGTGCCCCTTTAAGACAGTGTTCTCTCTGCTCCTTGCAGAACTGCCTAGGGCTTTCTCACCAGCTAAGCCTCTCTAGACAGAGTGCTGATTACATAGTGCAAGAGGGAAAAAATACAACCCTCTTCTCAGAGATACTGTATCCAGATTTTGACATTTTATTTATCTCAACCTTTAAGCTTATCTTGCTTCAATATGGTAAAACTACCATGCTCTACAAATCTCCAAGCTTAATCCACTATAAGGTAGAGACGATTCTAAGGTACAGTTAATTGCTCTGATTCAGATCATCCCTCTTTCCTCCCCCTCTGGCTCCCTGAGTGAACAACAACACAAAACAAAACAAAATCAACAACATGCTCCAAGATTAAGTTGTAATCAATGACAAGACCAACTGGGAGAGAAAGCTCATTAATTTGGTACAGCGGCATCTCACCTTGTCATCCCTGGCTTGTTGATCCTGGGAGGGTTAAAGCCCTAGGACATCACTGCAAGGTCAACTGTCTCTAGGCCTGGCCCCACTTTAATACCCCAAGGGTGCCACTTGCCTGCATTTGACTATCCAGCTGGTAAAACTTGTAAACAATAAGGGTTTAATTGAAAAGTAAATGTATCTATCTGTTGGGTGATAAGCCATTTCTCTGTTGCCCAGTATTTTTTTCAGAGTACAGTAAATGCTGCTCAGAATGTTATAGTGCTTAGAAAACTATATATATATATATATATATATATATATATATATATATATATATGTATATATATAGTCATAATATTATATATAATTATATTTACAACATTCTGTTTATTTATTTACTTAGGTATATAAAGATCCGCCAAGAGACAGAACTCTGAAAGACAGGTAAGTAACAAATGCATGGAGTTTACTAACATGTCTATAAGTCTGTGGGCTACTAGTCAGTCATTGTGTGACCTTGGGCACACTGTAAAAATTAATTAAAAGGAAGCAAAAATGCATATATAGCACTTAGCATTATGCTGGACATATGGTGAATGTTCAATATAAGTTTTTATTATGTCACTATTACCATTATCCTCATTATCATTAAACCAGCAAGGTACTAGGTTTAAAAAATTAAAGTTGAGTTGAGAAGAGAAAATAGACACATGAGCAAAGTAAAGAAACAACACATATCTTTATTAAAACACTCATGGTTGTATGTCAGTTTGTCTATTTACATTAGAGCTATCTTCTGGCATCTGGCACATCTGGGTGACTGCTTAAGTACATTATTTGATGCAATTATATAGGGCAGGTTACATACAAGTTCATTTCTCTCTTACCTTAACTGCCCCCAGAATTTTGTCCCCCTCTAGAGAAGAACACCTGGAGGACAGAGTCTATCTGCTCTTGATCTATGCACACACCCACCTTTCCCTCCCTAGACCAGAACAATCTAAGGCACAAAGGAGTTAATCAATACATCTTTGTTGAATAAATGAATGGGAAAGAAAATCATCTGTGGATAACCAAGTAGCAGAGATAAAATGATGTTCACTGCTCTGTTCACAAAGACTCAATGAGCATTATCCATCTGCTAAGGCCTGTGCTCAGTACCATGGGTACCATGGGGAGGTCCAGGACCTGGCCAGGGTTGTAGCCCCCAAGTTTTGGTATAGGCAGGTTTTCTGAGTAAAGAGTACAAGTTTGTGCAGGAGAAAGTGAGTCCCAGCTTGGCCATCTAGTTTCCCTCAGGCAGGGCTGGCCTAGATGATTTGGGACCATGAGGCTCTCACTTCCCGATCCATCCCTGTCCTGCACCCATGCGGGCCTGTCCACGGAAATTCTGCACCATGAGGTGCTTGAAAATGCCAGTCATTACAAAGGACTGGGAAGATTCATAAAAGTTTTCCTCCTCATTCTCTCTTTTCTTTTCTAAATGACATTTTCAGTAAGGTATGTGCTCTTTCTATGAAAGTACTAAGATGACCAGTTTCTAACAGTATAGTGTACCCACAGTAGTCATTTCCAATACATGACATATATGGCAAATGGCTGTTGTAGGTATTTTAGAAAAGTATAAAATTACATATCTGTGGGTATAACACATGTGCATATGTATATGTGTATGTGTCTATATCTATCTATCTATCTATTTCTATGTAGTTGTCTCTCAGGATATGTTGGGATTGGTTCCAGGATCCCCCATGGATACCAAAATCTACAGATGATCAAGTCTCTAATATAAAATATAAAATAAAGTGTTTGCATATAACTTGTGCACATCCTCCCATATACTTTAAATCATCTCTAAGTTACTTATAACCTAATCCAATGTAAATGCTATGTAAATAGTTGTTATGCTGTACTTTTTCTTCTACAACTTTTTATTGTTATATTGCTATTTTTTATTGTTTTCCCCTTAAATATTTTCAATCTGTGATTTGTTGAATTTGAGGATGTAGAACCCATAGATACAAAAGATTGACTATATATATATATACATGATCATGTGTTGCTTAATGACACAAATAGACAGATATGTTCTGAGAAATGCACTGTGAGGTAATATCATTGTTGTGCAAACATTATAGAGTGTATGAACACAAACCTGGATGGTATAGCCTACTACACACCTAGGCTATGTGGTATAGCCTATCCTAGGCTACAAACCTGTACAGCACGTTACTGTACTGAATATCACAGGCAATTATAACACAATGACAAGTATTTGTGTATCTAAACATACCTAAGCATAGAAAAGGTACAGTAAAACTAAGGTATTAGAATCTTATGGGACCAGCATCATATATGTGGTCCACTGTTGACTGAAATATCATTATGCTGTGCATGACTGTGTATATCCTCCAGAGAAATTGACCCTAAGATTGAAAACCCAGCAGGCCATTCTTGCCATACTTTCCCAAACGTCAGCCCAAGAAGATTGCTCCATCAGAGGGGAGGCTTGATACTAATGAAATATGATGCTTTTTTTATTTCATTAATCCCCTTCCCTAAGATTGGAAAGAACATTCTTCCTGGGCTGGGGCATCGGTAACAATGCCCCATCAGAGCCTGAGCTTCAGCAGTAGCACAACCTGCTCCTCAGGTGCCCCCAGAATCTCTCCCCACTGTACAGGTAGAGTTATGGATGCTAAAAGCCTCTGTCCCACAGAGACAAAAGTGTACATCTTTTAATTTTCTAATATGCAGACTACATTATATGAGACTGATGCACTGCAGAAAGAAAACTGGCCTTTACTCTTATATATGTACATATATTAGAGAAATCTATCAGGGAAGCATAAACTCACTCAGAGTCACTGAGATTCTGATGAAAAGTGACAGAATTTAAACAATACTGTAGGTGCCAGCCCCTTAATACATTAAAGAATTGCATTTTTATTAAGGCTCCTACCAAACTTTCCACACTTTCAGTTACATCACTGAATTATCCCTGGGGTTGTCTCCATCCTATCCCTGGCTCAGGAATTATAACCCAATCCAGACCTAGCTGATCAGAGGCAGTGACCTCCAGGGCTTCGGAGAGTAGTTCAGGTAAGGGCACCTGATCCAGGCTGGTGAGAAGGGCCAATCAAGAGTAAGAGCAACAAAGCAGAGTTTTAGACATAGAGAGAAAGAACAGAATATATTAGGTTTCTGAGGAGTCTCCCATCTGTGGTTTCTGACCCTGGCAGCCCAAATGTGCATTTGTTCTGGTATTCAAGGAGTTAGTCTGCCTCTTAAGAACTTCTACCCCTTCATTTGAAAAAGTCTTTACTGTACACTCCATAGGTGTGAGGCGGTACAGCATAAATCCCAGAGAGAAGGATGTGCATATGAGCCATGAGCTGCTAAAGAGACCAGGACCACCGACTGGAGGGAGGCTGCCAAAAAGAGGGTTACGCTGAGTACCAAGCCTGGGGGCTGCAGACTCAAGAGGTTGTGTTGACCCCTTCTGCAAACAGACCTCCACTCTCGCTTCTGCTCCAATAATCTCACAGGTCAGTGAGAACTGTGGGAACCTCAATGCATAAACACAACCCATCAAACAGTTTAGCAAGAAAATCTGACCAAAAGAAGGTGTCTATAAAGAAGGTCAGGCTCTGGCCTGCCTGGAGATAAAACCCAACCCACCCACCACTAAGGGAAACAGACAAGGAACAGAGGAAGCAAGGAGTCCACATGACCAAGAACCTGCAGACCAGGAAAAAGGGGGTGAGAGAAAGCAGTAGCAGATATCCTGCTTAAATAACATGGTAATTATTTGCTCAATCTATCTACTTACCTCCAAAGTGAGCTCTCAGTGATGCTCCCCAGGTTATAGTCGTAGAGCTTTGTCAAAATGAGAATCACCTGAAGGCAAAAGAAGAACTCAGGGTTAGTCTCAAACAATTATAATCTCTTGGAACTGAAATGGCTCAAGGGAGGGTTTAGGATTTCTTTAGTGGGTGCTTAACATAATTGAATGAATGGTTACAACCTTTCCCTTGCTGCTAAGGAAGGGTTGGCCTTAGGCCCATCCTCTCCCCACCTTTCTCCCTACCTCCCTGCTGTAAGAGTTAACCTGTCCCTCCAGGCATTTCTTACCCTGGTGGGTTTAATGCTTGCCAGCAGGGCTGGCTGGAGGAGCTGTCAAATATGCACCCCACAAGATAGCCACTGAGCAGATGGTTGGGAGAGAGGAAGGTCAATGATGTAGTTCCTAGTCCTATAACTGGGCCACACAGGCAGGTTACTTAACCTCTTTGAACCTCAATACCCCCATCTATTAAGGGGATGAAAGATAATTACTGTCTCCCTTGAGGAATTGCTGTGAGAAGTTAAATTTGGTGAGAAGTGAAAGTTATGTATCAATTAACATGCGGTTCCTAAATGTTAGTTCCTTTCCTTTTTCCTCTGTCAGCTTTGTTTTAAATGTTTCTTCTGACTTCCCAATTTCTAGGCAAGCCATTGGACAGAAGCCACTAAGCACCGTAAAAGGGCCAAGCAACAGCATTTTAGTGGGAGCAAATCTAGGTTTTATGGAGTCCTAAAGCTTATAGAATTTGGGAGGATGGAGAGGCTTCCATAAGAAACAGATAAAATTAAAAATTAGGAACAGGTCCGAGGAAGGAACCTGTGGAATTGCAGGACACTGAAATTTAAGCTTCATTAGCTTCACAGCAAATCCTCCTCTGAAATTTAACGTATTGCTGTTTTCAACCTCACTCTGAAGAACCCCAGCTATTTAATTCATTCTTTGAAATTTAGCAAGCATTTATTAGGAGACTAGGCTTTTGCCTGATGCCAGAAGAGACCACACATAAAACACAGAGGAGGTCTGGAAATCCGTGATGCAGTTAGCACAGAAGTTCTCATCAGAGAGCTCATCCACGCCTTGTCAGTCCCACTGAAACTCACACCCATCACAGCAGCTCCACAAGCAGCCTCTCTTGGTCCCTGCAGCAGTGACCAGGGTCCACCTGGTTACTTGCAGTGCATGAGTTCAAGTGCATAAGCTCAAGGACACTTGGGAAGATTCAACAAAGCAGTGTGTTCCTGTCCACTGATTCCCCTCCCTTTTACTTGCTCTTCTTACCAAAGGAAATAACATAATGGGTTTGCTTAGTTTGCTGTTGAGCTTCCTATTTTCCTCCTGGTACTCATAACCTAGAACTTGGCCCAGCCCTGCTGTTTCCAACTCAGCAGAAAAATGTTGACATTGATTTTCTGGGTTTTCTCTGAAGGCCAAGGGATCACTTGTAGCCACAGCGAGCACAGGACATTCTAAACTTAAATTTGGAGGCAGCCAGCTGCCAACAAGCGCCGGATCCTTCCAAGTTCCACTCTGCTAGCACAGTGCTTGATTTGCTAAAGGCACAAGCATCAGTGAATACGTTCTTAACGCTTTTTTTCACCGCAAACAAACTGGAACTCCCTGACCTCAGATTTGTTCTGAGTTCAAGGAAATGAAGAACTATGGTCACCTAAAGACAGCAAATGGGTCCCCGAGGACCTGTCCTCTAGGCCTCCCCTCCCTAAACCAGAGCGCAGCAGCTTCCAGGATCTGTTCAAAACCTGCTTCTTTAGCAAAATGTGAGCATGTGTGAGGCGTGGGGCACCCCCTGGGCACATCAGATGGCATGCCTGTGGTGGGGGCATATGCTTAACAGATCCGTGTGCCAATTAAGGCGCTCTAAGTGCTAAATTTCAATCACCGCCATCCCAGGAACACTGATCAGAGGCAGCGGGGTGGCTGTCTGTTTGAAGACACAGAATGATGCTGCTGCTCCGCCTCAGTAGAATTTTGCCGAATAGGCCTATAAATCCCCCACCAAGAAAATGGGGGTGTGGGCATAAAGCATTTCTAGGTAGTTGCTCTCTTGATGCAATACAGCAGCAGTAAACTAAATAATGAAGTTCGGCTGGTCACAGGCCGTGTCTCCCATTCATCTGACCAGGGAATTCAGAGGCGCCCCGAGAAGGAACCCTTTAACCTAGCATGTAATGGTGTGGAGCGGCTCACACACACACACGGAAATTGTTTAAGCAATTCCCAAGGCAGGCGGGCAGGGAGGTAAAATCCACTCGTCTCCTGCCTCTTCTTGCAGGGTTAGTAAAACTAAAATGCCAGTGATACACACAGGCAGTTTATCAATCCTGCATCAGAAGAGGAGTCTTTTATGGTATTTCAAAGCATATCTGCTTAAATCAATCTATTTAATCTTTCTGTTTTCAGAATAAAAGCAAGAAAGAAGGGAGAACTGCTAACCTTTGGTTATGTTTTTAATCGATTATTTGAGATCTCTCTTCCTCCCCACCCCCCTTTTTTTCCTTTACTACCTACATGTATTATTTACCACCTTACTCCTGGATAATAATGCATCCTTATATTAGATCTGTTTGGTTGTTTGTTTATTTTTCTGTTCTGCTATTCAATGGAATCAGCACCTATTTAAGGAGCCACAGCCAAAATAATTATATTTAAGTTTAAATCACTACATTTAAATAAGAAAAAGCAAAAAATGCAATTCTCTGCCTATTCTGGTCCTATTTGCTTACTGTTTTTGTGTATTTTTCAAACTTAAAAAAATCAACAGAACTGTTTAATCAAGTGAAATGTTATATGTACTTAAATAATATCCAAATGCTAATCTGTTTTTACTCATTCAGCAAATAATTTTCGTGTATATACTTAAACTCTGTGAGTTCAAGTGTATAGCATTTAATTATAAATTCAATCAATGAGAGCAAGGTTGTTTTGACGAACATACAATCACCCAAAGTGGTATATCCATCAGCATCCAACTTGTTTCTATATCTTTTCAGTCTATAGTGCCAAAATATCCCTGATTCTAAACAGTAAGTGGTTACCACATGGTAATGTCCTGTTAAGGTTCCTCTATAAATCTTAGATATTATGTTTAGATAGCTATATCACAAATATTTATGGTTTGGCAACCTCCACTGACATTGGAGCAGGCGCTCAACATCCAGTTATTTTGGGGATTTTCTGTAGTGACATGTCTCAAGTACCCCCCAACCAGTCTAGGACATCTGACCTATTTATTCTTTTGCTGTGGCTTCTTCTTACTGCATCCACTGCTGTAAGCAAAGGGAGGAACTTCATGTATAGTGAAGTCCATACTCACAGTGAGAATGCTGGTGCCCACGTACTAAGCTGATGCTTTTCAAATCATCCATTCCTTAGAGGGTCAGAGGGTGCCAGGAACAGTGCCAGGCCTGTGCAGAAATGAGGGTCTCCAGGACAGTGAGCAGAGGCTTCCTCCCTAGCACTGAGCCACTGGGGTCCCCAACTATCACCCCTTTCTTTGCTCACAGCCTTCCAAATTTCCTACTGAATAATTCCATCAACTCTGGCCCCTCACCCTCCTCTATACAGGGGTTGAAAACCCATCACAGAGAACACAGATTAAAAAAAAGAGAAATGCCAATTCACTCCTCCCTTCTTCTAGCCCCAACCTCTTTTTGCACTGGGTTACAAAACAAAAGCATTCGTCAAAACAAATAGACACAAGTATGTGGATGACTAATAAGAGTGTTCTGCTTTAAATTAGCAAAAGCCAGTGAAAAAATGTTCTGTTGTGTCAAAATGGCAGGGCAAGCCTTATTTCCAGGTATGCATTAAAATGAATTAACCCAATGGCAGCATAAGTTAGTGTACAGGCAGTCTCTATGATGCCAATTATTAATTATATAACACCTTTCAATGTGACAGCATTTTTTTGAATTATTAACATCAAATATAATTTAGAAATGAAACCCTAAACATTTAAGGAACCTCTAAAACACCTTCCTGGTAACCTGATTCTGCACAGCATACTTTAGAAAACTTCTGTACTAAGTATTAGGCTATAGAGAACCAAAAAAGACATAGCATAAGAATTTTCCATTTCTTTTCCTAAAAAAAAATAGTGTCTTCCCCCTTTTTCTTTACTAAATTAAAGAATTTACCCCACAGGAAGCAGGCAGAGGGTTGCTGGTGTGTTAGTGTATTTATCAGAACATTTGGGGCCTGGCTACTGTCCTTCACCTTCTCTCATCTTCATCTAAGGGACATCTTAGAAAATGGGAACATATCTCCTCATTTTTCAATTATTAATGATTTGCATTTTTTTCCTCTTTCTTTGTGTCCAACTATGGGAGTAGTACCTAATCTTAAAAGAAACAAAAATGTGGGCTAAGTCTCCTTAACAGTGAGCAATTCGAGCTACAAAATCCTAAAGACTCTTTCATTCCTGAGGGTCTATAGTTCAAAATCCTGAGTAATGTAGATGGTGACAGCGTCCTAGTCTATAAAACAACATGATTTCTTTTGTATTCCTCTCAGTCATTAGTGATTCTTGGCTGGCTTGGGCAGGTGTTTCTGTAATTGTAACACATGAGGAGACTCCACAGCGCTCAGCCATGCTAATGTTAATAATTGCTCTTGCCCGGGGTGGGCCATGGTCCGGCTCTAGTGAACAAGAAGAAAGGCATATTGAAGATGCCAGCAGCTTGGGTGGGCTGATGCTGGCTACCTTTCCCTTCCCCTACCAGCATCCAGCAGGCCTCGGTGTTTCTTCATTGTCGAAGCTCAAACGGCCATCCCCACACTCATTGCAACAGTTGCTAGAGACCATTTAGTTGGATGTGTTTAGAGATATTGATGGAAGCAAATAAAGAGGCAGAGAATTATAAGGAACCTGAAGAGATTTGGAATAATCTTTCATGGGGATGAAAGAGTTGGATAAAATAAGAGAGGGCTGTTCAATGGCCAGAAATTTGTTTTGCTTTTGGTTGTTTTCTTTGCACTCTAATTTTAGGGAAAAGAAGTAAACTCATAACAGTGGTTTTCCTTAAAATATGCATGT